CGGCGGGCGCTTGAGGGGTGGCTCAGCGCGGAGCCGCTTCGCGCAGCCCCCGCGTTGTTGCGCGGAAAAAGCGCGGAGCCGAAGCCCGGCCGATGGGCCCCTCTCTGCCCCAGCGAGCTGCGGGCGGGGAGGAGAAGGGAGGAACAGCCCGCAGGCGGCAAATCCAACCTCTCATCCCGGCGAGGCAGGGGCAGGAGCACAAAGGAGCCCTCCGCAGGTTCCCAGCCAAGTGGCGTTTCTCGCCGATGCTCGGGGACCGGGAGACGTCCCACCATGGGCCAGCGGCACACGGACCCGCGGGCCCGGGCCAGGGTTTCACTGAAATCCTTCGCGGGTCCGGCTGGAGGCTGCTCGGTGGCCGGGTGTCTGTCAGAACTTGTGGTTTCGCCCGGTCCGGAGTTGGTCGTTTTGATCTGAGCGATGGGGTTCGAAGCGCGTCCTGCAGGATTCAAAGCAAGGGAAGTTTGACACAAACCGAGGTCACCACCAGTTTCAGCGACGTCACATCGTAGCTGGGCTGGGGTGGCGGGCGAGCACCAGCTTTGGTTTCTGTCCTGCCCAGGGAACGGCGGTGCCGAGAGACAGACTCCAACCGTGGCTGTGTTGGGGTGTCAGGGCCACAAGAGCAGGTCACAGCACCGTCAGCTTCAGAATACGGGGCCTGATCTCAGCAGGGGCTGCTCGTGCTTCGCTTTCTTCCCATCCCAGCAGAAGCTGGACGTCAGCGACTTGCTATATTGATTTAATCCAGTTTGTGTTCAGACTAATGAGTGGTAACGCCAGGTGAAGGAATCACGTAGAGGAGAAGGCAGGATCACACAAAGGAGTGCTCCCTCACCACGGTCAGGGCGCCCTGCTACACTTCAAAAGCAATCAATAAACTGTTTCTTGACTGCAAAGACAACAGCAGCAGTGCACGAGTTGTAACTGGGTGTTTATACCTGCAGGATTCACCAGGTCTTTTGCAATTAAACTGTGAAACAATCAAGTTTAAGACTAGTCCAAGAGTCATGTAACCTGTAAGACTCTACTGCACAGTGGGAAGCCGTGATTCCTCGTCAGCTGAACTGACCCAGAGATCTGGGGAAGACAACTTTGCCCTCCTAAACTTTTGGTGGAGGAATGAACAGAACGTCCCTGATCGGCCTCGTCCCTCAATGCAAAAAAAGTTAATCTGAGTATCAGGGACCAGTTTCTTCCCCAGATCTGGCATTTTTTCGAACAGTAGGTCTCTAGGACAAACTAAAGTCCTTGGAAGAGACATTTTCATCACGACCTGTTTTCTTTTAAGTTGTCTCTTTTTTAGAAAGTCTAAACTGAACGATTAAAACACAATTCATTAACATGCAAAGGAACCTGAGCTGGGTCTTTGATCCATAAGTGTTACAGAATCACTGTTAAATGATGCTGCTTTGGTAGGAACTGGTATCTGAATTTGTCAACAGAAGCCTCAAATACTTTAATTTGTTTACTTAAAGAAAAGACATACAGCCTACATTCTCTCTGGAAGCTTTCTGAGAGCTTTGCTTTGAAAACTACATACTCCCTCATAAGCATAAAACCAAGAGAATCAGTACTTATAATTGATTTTAACGGTGACTATGAGGGTCTCAGCTGCAGCAAATGAGCGACCTCTGCACCCTTCCCCAGCCCAGCTGATTTCCATCAAAAACTGCACAGGCTCAACCCCCATTCTGTTAGGGAGCTTTATGGGAGCACTCTCATTTTGCAGTATTATTTTGTGATTACTCTAGATAGGTAAATACCACCCTGATACGGTATCTTGGTGTGAGAAATAGTTAGCTATACTTGGTTTTCACAACAGGAAAAAAAACCCCAAAGGTTTAAAATTAATTTCCATGCCACAGATGACATGACATCAGCCAGAATACACTCAAATCCTTTCCTAACAGCCAAATACATCCACTTGCTTCAGAAAAAAACAAAAAACCCAAAGAGCACTAGCAACAACTTACTATTAAGCTCTGGTCTGTATACTTACACTTTTCACTAGTGTAGGTGCAAGAGATGATGGGCAGAGTTTAGCTGCACTGGTACCAGTTCCAACGTGGAGAGAGCAACAATTCAGAGAAAGCATCAGCTGCTTTTCCTGCTCCACATCAGTTCAACACCGACGTAAGTGCATCAAGGAGCAGACCAGGAGTGTTAGAACTTAGTCAGCCCAGGCGCCCAGGCCAGAAAAACAAGCTGATGTAGAGTTATCTGTACACAGGCACTAACTGTTAGGTTTTTTCCCCTGCCTTAAAAGACATAGCCAGAGGGAAAGCAAGTCCTCTTCAGTACCTGTATAAACCCAGAACTGATTGACCAAACCAAGCCCTGGAAGGCAGCAGAAGCCAAATTAACAGGTGGCTTGGCCCCATTCTTTGTGTTTCTGTTCCTCCCTCCCCAGGGCCAATTTAGATTCCTGTCCGAAAGGTACTTCCAGCAAACAGGAGGTGCGTGGAGCCGCTGGCTGGGCTGGCAGTGCAGGAGGAGCCCCTTGCTGCTCTTCCCCTCCTCGCCACGGTGGCTTTGCTGCAGGCCACATGCCAGAGCTGGCAGGGCACGCTTGCACTGCAAAAGCCTCCTCTGCCTTCCACCTCACTTGGTTTTCCTGCACTGGGTGACTGACGGGAGCAGCAGCACCACACACAAATAGGCTGAGATGCAGTTCGAGCCAGCGGCACCTTTTAACTTAGATCACCAAGTCCATGAGCTCTGCAGGTTGGTTCCTTCCCGCAGGTGGTGTCACCGAGGAGACTTCATCCCAGGGCAAAAATCAGCTGGAATATGTGGAAGGAGCAGGGCCAGTCCCACCAGGAACGTTAACCACCAGGGATGCGACGAGCAGCAGGCACAGCCGGCAGAACCCGCGCTGCTGAGCTCCGGGAGAAACCCCATCATCCACGCCGCGCTGGGCACTCCAGTGCTGCCGAAGAGACAGGAGAGATTGGCAAAATTAATTTTAAACCAGCGTTTCCTGGTGCCTAGATATGCTGAGGCAGCACAGTTTTTCGATGTCTCAGCTATGGCAGCAGAAAGAACACGTAGGGCTTTGGAAATGTAGGGCATTAGCAGCGCTTTTTCTTTTTGTGTGCCCTCAGCAGTTCACACTTATCAGAACAAGGGCAAACCTCTCGCCTCCTGAGGTAGAAGCTGCACAACAAAGTTGTGGATGGAAGGAAATTCGCACTAGAACAAGCACAGGAAACCACAGAGCTGCAGAAAGGATGAGTTAATGGAAAAAGGTTGATGTCCTGATAGTGGGTAAAGGCTGTGGAAAACTACCAGCTCACACAGCCGTAGCATGCCCACTCCGGGCAACTTCATTCCACAGATATTACTGGAGGCAGAAGTTTCCCTCCATCTGCAAGAACAATACCTCGCCAACCAGTCGTTTTTCTAAACAATGAAGTAAGAGCACAGAGAAAGGCTCAGTTTTCACCAGCTGGTTAAAATTAACACGAGGCCGGATTTACTCTATTGCGCACAGTGACGGGGCTTGCGTGCACACCCGTTCAACGTGTCTCTGCTGTTGCAACTCCTCAAATTACACAAGGGATTGGTGTCAGAGTTCCTGAGGACAGGAAGCTCAGGGAAAGTGAGGATGAGCCATAATCACAAAATTTTAAACGGGGTAGTACTAGTACAAACGTACAGTCGCAGCTAGCGGTAGCGGAAACCTACCTAGAGATGATTAAATGACTTTTCTCGGCTATGGGACGGCTGGGATAAGGACCTCTGACTTCTGATTCCTAACGGAGCCATAGGGCTTTGGCTTCCTTCAGAGCTTAAGTGGTTCAGAAGTGGGATGCTTGTCTCAGCCTTCTTCCCACACCCCTTCTCTAGTCGCAAAGTAATTACCACCTATTTCACTTCGCATGGGAAGCCTTTTCTTTATTGTTTCTTGGCTAGGGAAATTGTTCACCGTAGATGGTTTTTTCATCTGAAAAGGAGAGATCTTCCCTGATTAAGGATGCCCTCAGGCAACTGTATTTTACCTTTTTTTTTTTTTTTTTTTTATGAGCTTGTTGGGTTTTGCTATCAGCCTTAGATAAAGCAACTATTTAGGAATGGAGTGGAATCCAACTTACAACATAAGGGATAATAATTTGTTTTTCTGTAGTGCCTTTTATCCAAGAATACCAAATGCTTTGCTAACATTAATTAATTAGCTCTCTCAAACCATCCAGTTGAGACACTGTGTCCTGGTTTTGGCTGGGATGGAGTTAATTTTCTTTCTAGTTGCTGGTATAGTGATGTGCTTTTGATTTAGGATGAGAATAACGTTGATAACACACTGATTTTCTTTAGTTGTTGCTAAGTAATGTTTATAGTAAGTCAAGGACTTTCCAGCTCCTCGTGCTGCCCTGCCAGTGAGCGGGCTGTGGGGACACAAGAAGCTGTGAGGGGGCACAGCCAGGACGGCTGATCCCAACTGGCCAAAGGATATTCCAGACCATATGACATCTTGACCAGTATATAAACTGGGCAGAAAGCTGGCCAGGGACCACTGCTCAGAAACAGGTTGGGCATTGGCCAGCAAGTGGTGAGCAACTGCACTGTGCATCGCTTGCTTTCTGTATTCTAATTCTGTTATTATTTTCATT